CTGGAAGACAGGTCACAGGCTGCCACCAGGGGGCATTCAATCTACACAGAACCTGGATATTCTAGGCCCCAGGCTGGGGAACCCACCTGCCACATTCTGAAGCTTCCTTATGCTCCTCTCTTCACTTTTTTCCTCAGCTGCCAGTTCACTCCCTGTACCCCAGGCTTTAAGCCATCCCCTCTGATCATGTTTGATGGGACTGACCTATTTGGGGTCCCTGGACAGAGAGTTTTCCATGGACTCAGCTCCTTCTCTCCCAAGAAGACCCAGCCATGCACAACCTCTTGGACAATCCCTTCCATGCTCAGGCCTGTCCCTGGGGGGTGTTCAGGCCCCTGCTATGTGCCCTGCCCCTGCGGGTGGGTCTCTAGGTCTCAGCCCCAATCTCATCTCTTATTCCTCCTACTAAACATCACTCCTCAGGTAACCCTAGAAACCTGAGTTAGACTTCTCTGCTTCTGGTTATGGGATTTCATTCTGGTGGGAAGGGAAACGTGGCTAACTAGTTATCTCCTCCCTAGTAAGCAAACCTTCCCTACTCTCCTCACTGTCCCAGGGACTAAGAAATCCCCACCCAATGACTTTCAAACAAACTCCTAAGTATATCAAGTCTCAGGCGGAGATCTGCACAGAGAACTAGGACCGGCTTCCCTCTCCTGGGCTCAGAACCGCCTGTGCACTGATCTTTTATATGAAAGTCTCATCTTTCAGTGCAGGCAAGACCTGCTCAAGGGCGGGCTGGGCTCTGTGGGACCTTGTGTGGAGGTGCTCCATCTGTTTTAATGCATACAAAGCATCTTTAGGTCCATTTCCTCATTCAAGCCACACAATTGCCACAGGTAGAGGCAGTCTAGACAGCCCCACACAGAAAGGATAGCGGCAGCCTCGGCCCTTCCCACCACCAGCGTACCTGATGGGAAACGGCAATTCTTGGCTGCGCTGGTTCATCCACTGGGGTCTTGCCTCAGTTTCCCTACCCCAAACTGCTGACCTGGCTGTGACTCTTGACTCCCTGCTCTTGCTCAGCTCCTTCCCTCACCCACCGTCAGACCAGGGGCTGGACCTGTCCTTAGACCCTTGATGATTGGCAGGGGTCCTGTATACTATAATTCACCACACTGGTTCCCTGGTCTGGCTTTCATCTTTTTCTCAACTCAGAAAACTCTTTCATGGAAAGTAATATTAGGCAGCTTTATTTTTAAAAAGCTTTTTTTAGCCCTAGCCAGTTTCGTTCAGTGGTTAGAGTGTTGGCCCACGGACTGAAGGGTCCCAGGTTCGATCTGGGCCAAGGGCACATACCTCCTCTCTTGCGGGCTCTGGCCCTGGTCAGGTCAGGGCGTGTGCAGGAGGCAACCAATGGATGTGTCTCTCACACATCGATGTTTCTCTCTCTCTCCCTTCCTCTTGCTCTGAAAAGCAATGGAAAAAATATCTTTGGGTGAGGATTTTTTTTAAAAAAAAAAGCCTTTTAAAAAAGATACCCCCTTTAAGATTCAAATTTCTTAAGGAAAATTTTNCCTTCCTCTTGCTCTGAAAAGCAATGGAAAAAATATCTTTGGGTGAGGATTTAAAAAAAAAAAAAAAGCTTTTTAAAAAAGATACCCCCTTTAAGATTCAAATTTCTTAAGGAAAATTTTCATTTTTTTCCTATGAACAAGTGAAGTGTGCATCCCAAAAGCACTATTTATAATATTCATAACTCTCATTGATATAGTTTACTGTGTGCCAGCTATAGCTGTAACTATTTTGCATATTATATATTCAATCCTTGAGACAACCCTATGAGTTAGTTACTGCTATTGTCTCCATTTTAAGATGAGGAAATTGAGGTTCAGAGAAGTTAATTGACTTGTCCAAGGTCACAGAGGCAGGGAGCAATGGTTGCAACACCCAAATTCAGGGGTCTGGCCTCACAGCCTGTGCTCTTAACCATTGGTTATGCTCAGAAGAGCCTTCGCACATTTGGAAAAGGGGTTCCTTCTGAGAATTCCCCCTCTTGTGCTCTGAGGGCTTGATGTTGTCTCAATGTTAGAAATCTCCATAGTTAAAGTTACTCAAGTTTAGCTATACCTTTTGCTAGAACAGCGTCTTTTAATAAGTGGAATTTGTCAAAATTGGTTCAATATTGTTGCTGTCTAAATATAGAGATGACAAGAATTATTAATATCCTGGGTCCCTATTTCAGAGAAGTATACTTTGTAAGGTTTAAAATATATATACCTTGTTGGGGACATTGTACAAGAGGACATTAGATTTCTCTAAAATGTTTCAATTTTTGTAAGGGGAATATAATTTTTATTTGTGTAATTTTAAAATAATCAATAAAATATTTGGCTTATTTAATCAATCCAAATATGCCTTCTGTGGTAGGCAGCCTCTAAGATGTCCCCCGATGCTCCCCACCTCCTGGTACTTAGACCCTTGTGTAATATCCTACCTTTGAGTAACTTACTTCTAACCAACAGAATATGGCAACATAGAGGGGACGACACTTCTACAGTTAGGTTGTAGAAGATTGTGACTGCTGTCTTGCTAGTACTCTTTTCTTGACGTGCATGCTTTGGTGAACTGAGCTGCCATGTTGGAAGGGCCCACGTGGCAAGGAACTGAAGGTGAACTCCAGCCAACAGCACTTGAACTGAATGCTCCTCAAAAATGGGACCCTGGACCCTGGACTGACTCAGCCTTGACTGCAGCCTTGAGAGAGATTCCTGACCTACAGAAATGGTGAGATGACACAAGTGTATTGTTTTAAGTCACTAAGTTTTAGGGTAACTTGTTATGCAGCAATAGGTAACTAATATACTTTCTTTATAAAAATAATGAATTTCTGAGATACCACTAAATCATCCTACAAACTAATATAAAATAGAAGATCTAATCTGATTGGCATCGAGAAATATATCTAAAGTCATGTACATGCATTGTAACCACATCTGTGTCAGATCCTCTAAGGACCCCTCAGTCTTTTGAGGTCAGGCTGCCTTTCAGGGAAGTGGTGGCTCTAGAGCAGGGTCTAGAATATAAGTGTTTGTGTGTATGTGTGCGTGGGGGGGGGTTGTCCCTCACAATCTGTGTTCCCCCTTTCAGGCCCAAAGGTGCCTTAGGACAAGGACAATCCCAAATGGGGCTCTTGCAGAGGCTGAGTCTCCCCTGTCAATCTGAGAGGCCCCCTAGGAGAGACCTCTCTACCCCACCGTCAGACTGTCAACCATAGCAGGCTGGATTCTTCCTCGCCAGTGTCCCCCTCGCCCAGGTACCTAACCCCCAGCTCAGAACCTTGCTCAAAAGGAGAGCTAAGACGATATGGCAAAGAGGCCACCAGATGACAGGTAGAAAAGAAACATAAATTCAAGAAATGCATTTCTCTGCTCCAGTTTATTTATCTTGGTCCACACTCAACATGCAGGAGCTAGACACCGAGTCTCCGAGGTCGCTGCTTCAGCCTTACCCCCGGTTGATTTCACCCATCAGTTAGGAATAGAACTCCTCAGAGATAGAAAGAGCCCCCACATTTTACAGGTAGGAAGACTGAGGGCCAAAGGTAGTGTCAGTGGCCGCTATGTCACTGCTCACCTATCAGGATCTTGCAACCTCTTGGCTCCCAGAAGCAAAACAGAGAGCTTGGCTACCTTAGGCTTTGGCTCTCCCCAGGACTCACCAGCTTTCTACCTCACAGAGCTTCTGCTGGAGCCAGTCAACTTCTATTTAAAGGGCCATTCAGTGATGGAAGGGGGTGTGACTCAGCATCCTAAGAGTTTACAGAGGAAGGGCTGACACTGCCCCCGCCCACTCTTAAAAGCAGAACTGTGGCACCTCCTCACACAGATAGTCTGATTTCAGAGAAACGAACCAAACTAATTCAACATCCAGTGATACTAAAGCCAGAGAGCCACAGCAAGTAGAGGCACAGAGATGGAAGTGAGATTTTACCCAACAGCCTGGAAATACCCTGTCCATTCCCCGCAAGCTTATAAGCACACATTCATTTTCATCAGAAGCTTAAATCAATATGGTCTGCAGCAGCTCCTTTGCAGCGGAGAGGAGATGGTTTGTGGTTTGTTTGGAACTGGTATTTAAGAATTCCCAAATTCTTATACTTCACAGGGTTCTGCCATCATCATCTCCCCAACTCCATCTCCCACGTGCCCAGAGGCAAAGTTCAAGAGGGCCAGTCCCTATCTTCTTCTCTGATCCCACCCCCATACCATGGTGTCAATCACCACCCTCAGCCCCCCTCCCTGATACTAATTCTCTACCAATTGCCCTGGCAAAATTGCAGCCAAAAAGCCATGACAGGCCAAAGCAGCTACCACCTACAGGAAGTCCACCATCAGAGACTACAGCCTTAGCAGAGCAAGGCCTAGGAAGAGTGAGAGAAGGGAGAAGGAGAGGTGGCCTGGAAAATCCAAGGAGAATGGATCAGATATAACCCTCAGATAAATGACAGCAGTCAGCCCTCTTTCCAGGGAGCAGTGGAACCCTATGGGGAGAAAAAGGCTATAGCAGACCATGGGTAACATAGGGTGTGGATGGATGCCCCACATGTGCAACTGAATATATATTTGCACACACTTGCTCGGGAGTCTACCTACAAATACATGTTCCTAATATACACTTCCCATGCCTCACCTGCACACATGCACCCCTACCTACAGGCCCACACACACAAGAGCTCACTTACATACACCACCACAAGCCTGCACATTCAAACTCACTCATAGGCACACACATCTTTTGCATATACGATTGACCTTAAACAACACAGAGGTTAAGAGTGCAGACCCCTGAAACAGTTTAAAATCTATGTATAACTTTTGCTTATCTAAAAACTTAACTACTAATAGCCTGCTGCTGACCGGAAGCCTTATGGATAATAACATAAACAGTTAATTAACACATACTTTTGTGTTATATGTATTATACACTGTATTCTTACATAAAGTAAACTAACAAAAATGTTAGTAAGAAAATCTTAAGGAAAATTCATTTATAGTACTGTACATATTTATTGAAAAAAATCCACATATAAGCTGACCTACGCAGTTTAAACCTGTGTTGTTCAAGGGTCAACTACATACCCTCACTCAAGCACAATTATATACACTGTTGGGCACCTGGTCACACATGCATATATAAATTTACTCTCTTACATACATGCCACACATACACAGAAGGACACACTCACAGACAGGCCCGCACATAAGTTAGCCTGTGTGTACACACAGCACACATAAGCTGATGCACAAGTACTTATTCACACGTGTCTGGCATATGTTAGCACATACATACTCACTCATGCTCACCTGCACTCACACCAGCTAATAATATGTATATATAACCACACACATGCCTGCAAATATATACATATACCCTTGCACCCAAGTGGAGGTGCACTCTTAGCCCTGGTCGGAGGGCCGGGATGGCGCTGCCTTATGTTGGAGACAGCGGATAAGCTCCTTTCGGTTGTCTAGGATGGTGTCGAAGCTCTCCTGGAGGCGGGCCTGCTGGTCAACCAACTGGTGCTGCAGGCCTCGGATCCACTGGAGCAGAGCCAGGCGGCGGTACATCACCAAGTGCACGTGGTGCTTCTCCTTCTCCTGCTCTTTGTAGCGCTCTTGAGCCTGCAGCTTCTGCACAGCCTGGGCCACCGAGGGCAGAAGGGGGTCTGAAGGGCCAGGGCCTTGAGGGGTCCCACAGGCAGGCTCAGGGCTGCTGCTAAGGCTGTCAATGCTTAGGGAGCTGCTGGCATAGCCGTTGTCCTCCAGAGGGGAGCAGACTGTGCCGGCACTACCCATCTTCTCAGCCTCAGCTCTGGGGATCTCTGCTCCCTCCGGTGGGCTGCGGACCTCCCCCTCAGGGAGTCCAGGGGCCTGCAAGGCCTGGTTGTCAGAGGGCAACTCGGAGGACCTCCTCATCAGGATGGGCTCCACTTGGTCTGGCATCCCATGCCAATTCTCATTGGCGTCCTTGGCACTCGCCACGAAGTTGGAGTTACTGTCTGGTTGGAACTCAGGCTGACATACTCCAGGAGGCGGGCCTCCCGGGAACTGGCCCCCCTCAGCTCCCCCTGGCTGGATGGCGAACATCTGGTCTGTGGAGGGGAAGCAGAAGACTGAGTCAGAGCAGGACAGGGTGAGGTGCCCTGACAGGGTGAAGACAACCTAGCTGCGGGGACAAGGCAGAGCCTGGCTGCTCCTCCTCAGCCCCTTTCCCTGCACCCTGGTGACACCTCCCTTCGTGGTTTCCCTCCTCCCTTTCTGGCTGTTGCCTCTCAGTCTCCTGCACAGGTTTACTCGCAGCCCTCAGAGGCAGGCTGTCTCCTCACTCTATGCGCCTCTCCCCAGATGACCTCATCCTCTGCTGGAGCTTCAAGGAGCATCACGTGTTGGTGACTCTCAGCTCTGCCTCCAGCCCAGATCCAACTGCTATCCAACTCTGCAACCAACCACAGGCTCCTCAAATTCTACGTGTCCAAACCAGCTCAGCAAAATGGCCCTAGTCTCCATCTAGTCACTGCAGTCAGACACCTGAGAGCATCCTGGACCCCTCACTCTGCTTCCTTCCCCCATCTCACAGGCCACCAAATTCTGAGAATTCTTCCCCTTAAAAACCTCCGTGTGCGTTCAGGCCATTTCTTAACCTGGACTACTGGCTATCACAGCCTTTCCACTGATCTCTCTGCCTCCAGTTACAAATGTCAATTTGATTCATCACAGCTCCCTAAACTCCTGCTAAACCTCTCTGTGTCCCACACGGAGAGGCTGTGCTTCACCTGGCTCTGCTCACCCCTCCAGACTTGCGCCTTGCCACTCTGCCCCTCCTGCCCGACCAAACTGCTCAGGGACCTCAGAAATGCAGCAGTATTCCCCTCACACAATTCCCTTGGCCTACAATACCCTTCCTGTCCCCTCCCTTCCCCTCCCCTCTAAGGTCCTTCCTTCTTCACCCATCAAATTCCTTTTCATATTTTAAAACTCAGCTCTAGGCGGGGTGGGTGTGGCTCAGCGGTTGAGCATTGACTTAGCATCCAGGCGATTGGGGTTTGATTCCTGGTCAGGGCACATGCCTGAGTTGAGGGCTTGNTTCCCCCATCTCACAGGCCACCAAATTCTGAGAATTCTTCCCCTTAAAAACCTCCGTGTGCGTTCAGGCCATTTCTTAACCTGGACTACTGGCTATCACAGCCTTTCCACTGATCTCTCTGCCTCCAGTTACAAATGTCAATTTGATTCATCACAGCTCCCTAAACTCCTGCTAAACCTCTCTGTGTCCCACACGGAGAGGCTGTGCTTCACCTGGCTCTGCTCACCCCTCCAGACTTGCGCCTTGCCACTCTGCCCCTCCTGCCCGACCAAACTGCTCAGGGACCTCAGAAATGCAGCAGTATTCCCCTCACACAATTCCCTTTGCCTACAATACCCTTCCTGTCCCCTCCCTTCCCCTCCCCTCTAAGGTCCTTCCTTCTTCACCCATCAAATTCCTTTTCATATTTCAAAACTCAGCTCTAGGCGGGGCGGGTGTGGCTCAGCGGTTGAGCATTGACTTAGCATCCAGGCGACTGGGGTTTGATTCCTGGTCAGGGCACATGCCTGAGTTGAGGGCTTGGTCCCCAGTGTGGGGGGGGGGAGCAGGAGGCAGCCAATCAATGACTCTCTCATCATTGATGTTTCTCTCTCTCTCTCCTTCCCCTTTCCTCTCTCTGAAATCCACAAAGATATATTTTAAAAAAACACACAAACAACTCAGCTCTAATATCCCTCCCTCCTCTCTGAAGCCATCCTGATTTCCCACCCACTGCCCCAATATACACAAACACACACAGTTAACTCTGCCTTCCTCCAGGTCCGCAATGCCCTGGGTACGCACTGTCCAATTCGTGTTTGTTTCTTTTCCCCAGCACATAATTGATGGTCAGTAAATGTCTATTCAATTTTTTTAAAACTCTGCTGTAATATTAGCTTGTAAATCTGGCTCCCTGACTAGATGTGGAACTCCTCTATACAGACTCCCTCATACCCCCAGGAGCCAGCACGGAGCTTGGCACTAAGCAGGTGGCCAGTCCATACTTGCTGGGGATCTATGCTCAGGAGTAGTGGCAGGAGGCTGTGGCCGACTGCCCAGGGCTGGCAGAGCTGGGTTCAGTTCCTTCCTCTGCCCAAGGAGGACTCCCTCCCTAGTGCAAAGCCTCTTGGACCTTGGCCCTTTCCCTCCATACCCACTATCTTGTGTCCCTGCCCCTACCTGGCTCCATCTTGACCCCCTGGGCAGAGGGCATATTAATACTATTCTTTCCTCCTCAATAACCCGCTTCTACCAAAATTAGGGTTCAATTGACAAGAGGTTTCTACTGACCACATATTAGTAGAATTAGAAGGTTTGGGTTATGAGTGAGACTGAGGGACAGTGTAAGTGTAGACAGGGACCCTCCCCACATCCAGTAGGGGACAGAAGTTGGGGGGGCAGTTCCTTTATAACCTACAAACTCCCACTAAACCAGGGGCCTGGAGACCTTCCCCGCCCAAATGTTTCCTTTTCCCTAAACTTGGGCGGGGCCGTGAAGGAAGCTGGGATGCTGCCGGGGTGGTGGTAACGGAATCGCGGGGTTCTTAGAGACAGTAAAATGGGAACCCAGACACCACACCCCAGGATCAGGTTTCTCTCCAGGCTAATCTGCAATCTTCCGGGGT